AGCAACCCACAACCAAATTAAAGTAACTAAAAGCCCAAAATCAGTTGTAAGCCCAACAGAGGAAGCCTTACGCGTGTACCAAATCAGTCCAATTAAAGCAAAGGAAGTTCTACTTAATATAAAGGCTAAATGGACCGCCCAATCTTGACCAGGCCCGAATTCCATAATGTCCACCATAATATTGAATACACGATCTGTAGGTATAATTACCTACATTTGGGAATAAAAGCCAAGAAACGGCTTCGTGTAAATTTCTAAGCAAAAACTTATAAATAGAGCCTGAACAAAGATGAAGAGGCTTCGAATTCCCAATATTGCTACTCTCTCAAAGATTTGTTTGTTGCCTACTTTATTTTTTCTGTGTGTTCTTCATAATTAATCTCTTTAGGTGTTCGGGTGTAAGAAATTGCACCTACACCCGCGGCTTGTCCGGTTATTCTTCCAAAATATCCGATCGGCCCCGAGTAACTTATTAGAGCTGCGGACTACTATTGATGGCCACCTCATCCGCATCACAGTTGAGACATTGGCCACAGCTTCTCGATGCCCACACGTCTGCCCTCCAGGTCTTCATTATCCTATTTTGAGAAGGCCCTCTGATGTAGACATGGCCGTTGCTTTGACAGGCCCCGACAGTGATGGCGAGACATTCGCCACTCGGACTTATTTGCCTGACGATCTATGGTTCTTCGATTCGGTTCTCTTCTGAAATGCCTTTATGGCAGGCCATAAGATCCAGAGGCGTTCAGACTTCCTTGTAGCCTTCTATGCCTTCTACACTGGCCATTGGTTCTCTATTCCTGCACTCATATGGAGTTTCATGATGAGATTATATGTGAGCTACATCAGCAAGGCCAAGCCTGGCCGAGCCACTTTTCTCCCCTTTGGACATCTTATCACCCAGATTCTCTGAGACCAGCATTATCCCTTCCATGCAGCAGAGCATCCTGAGCCAGGAGCTTGCCATTATGGCAAGAAGGATTGGAATAAGAGCTATAATGCTCTTATCAAGAGCTTAGAGGAGGAGGATATCTTAGCAGCAGATGAGGTTGCAGAGGCAGAGGCAAAATAGGCAGCAGCAGATGATCCAGCAGACCCACCGGCGGCTGCAAACGCACATATGGATATCGATCTAGAGTGAGAGCCTCCAAAGGAGTCACCACATCACTCTTCGGTAGGGTCGCCATTGCACTCTCAGGAGCAGGCTTATGATGTACCTCAGTTTCATAACCCAATCATCCCTGACGCTCTAGTTCTGACACCTGGCCTAGGAGAGTGTATACAAACTTTGGAGGACGTGGTTGTCTCTTTTCAGTCAGATGTGGCCTCTCTCAGCACTGATGTGACTACTCTCCGCTTAGACGTCTTAGCTGCGCTGCAGGATTTATCCAGAGATATCTGGGGATCATGCCCCGCTCGCCCGACCTCCTCTGCCTAATCTCTATACCTCTCTTTCATCTTTTCATATAAATCTGTGTTACCTGCTATTTTTAATACTATTATGATATTTTATACTGTGATGTACTGTACATTATTTTTCTCTTTCTATGCATACTATGTTTGGATGTCAGATTCTTATATTGATACATCTATCTATTCTTGACTCCATTATTAGGTGCATCCCAGTGACTTCAGTGAGAGACTGCTGCCCAAAATTTTTCAGGACCATCCTTTTTCCTCTCTCCTTAGTTCATTTATTATCCCATTTACACTTGCATGTCCACTATGCATTTTTATTATCCCCTTTGTTATTTGATGAGATTTCGTCCCAGTTCCATCTTTTCAGGACCACAATCAATTCTAAGTTTGGGGGGGGGGGGGGGGGGTTATACCACCCACTTCGGATACTTGTGTCATGGCCATTCTTTGCCTTACTAGCACTGGTATACTCTTTCCTTTGTTCTTTTTGCACATTGAGAATACTGCGCCATTTAAATTTAGGGGTAATGGGTGTTATTTGCAGTATTTGCTTTCAATTCAAAATTTTGAGCATGACTTGTGTATTTGAGGGATTTTCTATGATTGGTCCATTACTAGCTATGATTTTGATATTTTGAGGACTATATTGTTTAAAATTTAAAAATTGTTTGACTTAAGAGTCCAATACTCCTTATATGCCTTGTGGATGCCATTTAGGAGTAAATTTTTCGAAAAATTGATATCTTGCTTGCATTTATGGTCCATATCATCCTGATTTTGTGATTGTTTTGAGATTCACTTTAGGATTCTACACTAGCACAAGCGCACACTAGCATTCATTTATGGGGTACATGCTTTATTGATTATTGAATTGGTTATATCCCAATTGAGTTAGTAGTACATTGAAAACTTTCATTCTGATAAAGGTGGATAACAAACCTTTTTCATTGACTAGCCAGGATTCTAGCCTCATCAAGTACTAAATTTCTCACACCGAAAGGTGGAGGGCCCAAACTTTAGGTTAATAATTGAATTGAAAAAAATAAATAAATAAATAAATAAAAAATAAATAAATAAGTTGTAAAAGCAATAAAAAGTGAGGACTTCTCCCAAAAGGTGAGAAGTGGGAAATGATTAGATGGAGGTTGTTTTGATTTGTAGCCTAGTTGATTTGAGCTTGTAAGTCCTTATGGGTGTTTGAACACTTAGTGCCCTAAAGCCGTCCAGTTTGGGAGTCATTAACCTAACGTTCGACCTCATGGATCGCTAAAAAGCTTAATAGATCAACATATTGCATTATGCTTCCATCTTTGATCTCTAGGAAAAAAAAAAAAATTCGAGTGAAAATAATAAGTGCACCTAAATGAATAAAGCTTTAATAAAAGGTCCACTCTTTGTCTTGATGATCGGTACTAGATTTTTGTGCTAGTTTGAGGGTAAAGATGTGATCATTTCTTTAGTTGGCTTAGATAGCAACATATTTGATGCCGATCCACTCAAAAGGATTCTAGAGTTGTTTTGATTTGCATGATCATTTTCTTGATGTGTGAACGACCATACTTGTTTGCTTGATGTTAAAATTTTGGGAGATTGCTTGGAAATGGTTGAAAAATTGCATACTTAAGGTAGTTTTATCCCAATGCTTATTTGTAATATTGGTGTCTCTTTTTTGAAGAATGAGCTTAATGTTTATGGGTATCATTTCTGGAAACCCTCACGAGACTTCACTCGTCCACTAGGGGTAACCTAGGGGTTTAAAAGGCTTGTTGCATATGCTAAATGCAATCGTGTTCTCTACGAAAGTGGCTTTATCCATTATTATTTTCTAGTTCATACTTGTATAGATGTTCATTTCTTTCATTTACTTTGTAAGTTCATTGTTATGAACTAGCAATATTTAAGTTTGAAGGTGTGATGAGCGCTGAAAAGTGCGCATTTAAACCTCTTAAGCTCGAGTATTCTAGGACCTTTATCTATCTTACTTTCCCGTTTTAGACTAATTTCATGTTATTGTCCTTTTCAGGTGCTTATTCCCAAAATAAGGCAATTCAGCCAAATTAGAGCATAAAAGAAGCAATCTCAAGCTAAATGGAAGAATGGAGCAAAGTAGAAGCAAAGTGGAAATCAGCAAACTTCGATTGATCAGGAATATTTTCGATCGATCTCACATTAATCGATCTCACATCACCAAAATAGATCAGACCTCTTGTCCTTATCCTCAAAGAAATTCCATCTTCGATCGATCTAACTTTCTTCAGATCGATCGAATGTTCTTTATCTTATCCCCACCTACCACTTTTGTCTTTTTCCAAAAATATCCCAAAAATATCTTAGATTTGTCTTATTCAAAAAAGGCGCCGCCAAGGATTGATCGATCTGGCCTAACTTTGATGGATCTGGCCACAAATCGATCTGAATTCGATCGATCGAACCTCCTCAAGTCAGAAATAAAATAGAGTCCAACTCATTAAAAAATGACTCGTAGTGCAATCATTGAAAGGACCCTACTGCACGAGACCTGACCATTGGGTGTGACACTCGAGCTTCTTATATAAGGATTTTAAGCCATTTTTACACCATAACTCATATTCCATCATATATCTCATATCACATATCTTGGAGAGGAGGTTAGAGCTTAGAGAGACATACACTATTTTGGGAGTTCTTCCATTCTTCTAAGGTTTTCATCAAGAAGAAGAGCATTTCTACCATGGAGATAGCCCTTGAGGCTTGGATGACTACATCAATGAGCGGCTAAACATCTTCTTGGGGCTAGAGTTAGCCCTAAGCATCCCTTCTAGACCTTAATACTTTGTATTTCATGGGTATTTGTATTGTAATCTTGTCTTGACACTTGATTTATATATAAATCTTGTTCTTACAATGATTTGTGTTGATTAATACTTCCAATTGATCATTTCATTCTATCCATATGTCTATGTATGCTAGAAGTAGATGTTCATGTGTTTATCTCTTGGTTTTGTGATATTGATGCATGTCTATGTATATTGATGCTATGAATCTAGAGATTCTCAAAGCATAGTGCTTAAATAGAATACTCTTGTGATTTGTTTGATAGTTCATACTCATTTCTTGATGGATCACTACAACAGATCTGGCTTTTACCAGCGCTCAAAAGCGCTGGTAAAAGTCCTAAAAAACGCTGGTAATGCGTTTTACTAGAGCTTTTGAAAAAGCGCTAGTAAAGCCTGCGTCGGTAAGGCTTTACCAGCGCTTTTTGAGAAGCGCTGGTAAAGGCCTTTCACCAGCACTTTTCCAAAAAGCGCTGGTATAGAGTATTTACCAGCGCTTTCTAGAAAAGCACTGGTATAAGGACTTTACCAGCGCTTTTGCAAAAAGCGCTGGTAGAATGTATTTACCAGCGCTTTTTGGTAAAGCGCTGGTAAAGGGTAATTTTAATTTTTTTTTCCCTCCCTCCCTATGCCAGCGCTTCTTAAAAGAGCGCTGGTAAAGGGGTTAATTTTTTTTTTTTATTATTATTATTTTTTTACCCTTATAGTTTTTGGAAAAAACATATCAATATGGAACTACTAAATGTCATCCAATATAACACAAGTTAATATAAAAATACCATCCAAATTATTTTTACATAATACAACCACAAGTTAACCCTGCCAATATGAAAATTACCATCAAAATTGGCTACTAATACAACCACAAGTTAAGCTGGTAAATGTCAACCAAAAAGCAAAAATGTATACTAATACAACCACAAGTTAACCTGCCATCCAAATTGTCTAAATAAAGCTACTAAATGTCAGACAAAAAGAATTAACAATTTTTGACAAATGTAGTACAAGTTTTTCAAAAAGAACCCATCCAAGGCGAACGAAATTCAAAAAGCACAGTCACGACCCTATCTTCAACTTCAACAAGTCTTCTTGCCCATTTGATTTGAATTACCCTACATTTTCTATAAATTCATTACGCACACATTATAATAAATGAAAATTTAACATATATATAAAAGAAATTAAAAGTTCATAACCTTAATTGAATTGGCATCACGACTAGATAATGAATTTGGGGATACTCTAGGAGGAGCATTTAACAAATCAGAACCCTTCAAAATAAGAAAACAAAATACATAAAATCTTGGTACAAGTAAACATATATTTAGTAAAGAATAAAACTAATAATAAATATACCTGTCCACTACAATTTTGTTGTTGCATTTGCATTAGCATAGCCACCTATTGTTGTAAATTTTCCAACTTGTCATCATAGTTGGCTTGTAAATTTTCCAACTTGTTGTCATAGTCAGCTTGCATTTTTTAAATGGTCTCCTACAACTCTACAGGTGCAGCATGTGCCTCTTCATCAGATTTTTTCGCATTATTAATCAATTCAGTTTTACTAGGAGAGGGCCCCTAAACATCGCTTGGTGTAGGCCCAAAGCCAAGCATCCGCACACGACCAGTTCTCTCTTCTCCCCTCACAATGGAGAACAAATCATTAGAACTACCAATAGGCGAGTCAGAGTAACTTTTTTGAAGTTCTTTTATGTTTTCCTGCCAAAAATGAAAAATGTCACTTTCTTGAATGGCCACAATATTAATGACAAATTGTTGTGATTATGTATAGTACTACTATTAGATAAAGCAAAATGTCAAATCATTCCCAAATTTGAAGCTATATTTAGACAAAAAAAAAAATTTGCCATTAGGGCCCTACGATAGGTGTTAATATGATTCTTAGACAACAACCGTCACCTCCCTTTTTAAAAGTAGGTATTGGTTGTGTTCGATATACTGTGCATTTGACACATTAAAATCGTTCGTGTATAACATGCGCAAAAATAAACAACTTTAATCGTCCAATGTACAGAATGCATTAAGCATACTGAATATATATTTTTTTAAAGAAAGGAAAAGTTACATCACTTAACTAAATGTTCACTTAACTGTGAATCTTAATTGAAACTAACTTGGTTACAGAATAAAATTTTGAAGCATGTTATGATGGAAACAAAAATGTGAAACATGTTGTGATAGAAACAAAAATAATAAGTTTGATCTAGCTAACGACCACTTAGCATAAAAATTATAAAAAGATTCCAAGTCAATAATGAAGACCAACATGTGATTGAATTGAATGGCTTAACATTTGGTGTCAAAGCTTGTGTACTTACATTATAGACCCATTAATTATCATCATTCAATGAAAATTAAAACAATAATTTATAATCAAGTACACATAACAACTAGAGTATCATATTTTGTACACACTGAAGGATACCAGATTGCATCCGTTACATAATATAGTTGAACTTTATTTTGGCCATCTCATAATTAATATCAACCACAAAATCTGAGCTCAATAATTAGCATCAACTTTAATGGCGATTAACATTTCCATATTCTTGTTCCCCTGGTATGGTGATAGAATAAAGCACCTCCTATCAAATCAGAGGTTATTGCTGAGAAATATTTGTTCACGTTCCCAAGTAAAAGTTTAAAGGTTCAACTTTTCGCATGTTATTTGTCGCGGAAAAAAAGAAAGAAAGAAGAAACTATGACACATGCGAACATAATTAGGTTACTGCATCATAGATTGCATTGCTTCAAACGCTACATAAAATAGTACATTTAAAACTTTGAAAACTAAACAAAGGTGTGCCTTTGAAAGATGTTTTTCTATTTTGTTTTAGGACTTCGATGATTGGGGTTGAGAGGAACACATTAAATTGAAGAATTCAGGGCACTAATCAGCAACATGTTGACAATGGGAAGCGGTACAGTTTCGGAAAATTCACTCAATTTCAATCCCAATATAGCAGTTGTAGCACACAGCAACAAGGTCATACAAATAGAAGTAGAATTTCATAAAATGAACTCAATTTCAATATAGTAGAATTTCAGAAACTGAACACAACTTCAATAGAACCAGAATCTAAAAATGTAAATTTTCTTACTTTTTTTCAAATTGAGTTGTAAAATTCAAAAAATGAACTCAATGACAATCCCAATATAGCAGTAATAGTACACACTAGCAAGGTCATACAATAGAAGTAGAATTTTAGAAAATGAACTCAATGTCAATATAGTAGAATTTCATAAACTGAACACAACTTCAACAAAACCAAAAATCTAAAAAAGTAAATAATTTCCCAAGAATTAAATGGTATTAACGAACAAGTTCAATTTATTTAAACCAAATAGGTATTTTCTTAAAATCATTCATACAAGTTCAATTTCTTTAAACCAAATAGGTACACCTTAAACACGATGCGCAGCCCAAGTTTCTAGAAAGACATTAATAACCTAGTGGTCCAAATTCCAAAACACTCTATTGCATATTATTGTGGGCTATGACATCAAGATTCATTAGTCACTAAATTAAACGAAAATGTGCAAAATCTCTATGCTGATAGGAATGTGGGAGAATTTTACAAACAACTGAAGGATAAATTAAGGCTAGTGATATTCGTGTTCCACTAACCTCCTCTTTACATCCCTAAAACTTCTCTTCAAATATATATATATATATATATATATATATATATATATATATACACACACACACACTTCAAAACCTCAAACTTATCAAATCACCAACATCATTTCTTTTCCAGAGAAAAAAATAAAAAATCACCAGCATCACATCTTGTCACTTCTAAATTCCAAATAAATTGTAGGTCTTTTATCTACTAGCTCTCTTGAACCACGCAGCTTCTGGCATGAGAAGAATCCGGGAAAACTTAACGAAGTGTTTGAGGTTCAAATTAAAGGATATATTATTATTATTCCACTTTAGTCTCCATCTTGATTTCTTTCATTTGATTTTCTATCCGAATTTTTCCTCCATTCTTATTATTGCAATATCTTGTAATTAGATTTGAGATTCTAGATGGAGTTTTAGAATCAGAACATACTTTATTAATTTTCTCTCCTCCCTTTATCTCCCTTTCCATTATTGGTCTTCACAAAATCTTCAAAAACTTGAATCTCAAGAAATCAACAAAAGGAAGAAAAAAACGTAAAATCAATGAATATCTCCTTGGTGTGTTTCTATCTTGTATATTTAATTTCCTAAGAATTAAATGGTGAAGTGTATTTTCTTTTCCTCCTACCCTAACTTGATTGTGATTTTTGAGTTATCAATCAGTTCTCAACCAACAATTTTGGGTTTCAACAGATGTGTTTAACATATTCAAGGACAAGCACAGGATGTTCAAAGAAGAACTCAATGACAATCCCAATATAGCAGTAATAGTACACACCAGCAAGGTCATACAATAGAAGTAGAATTTTAGAAAATGAACTCAATGTCAATATAGTAGAATTTAATAAACTGAACACAACTTCAACAGAACCAGAAATCTAAAAATGTAAACAACTTCACATTGTGTCCATAATTTTCTAAGAATTACTAGGTGTAGAACAAGGATGAAGCAATAAAACTTAGAAACAAAGAAAAGATGAGAGAACAAATAGAGTACAAGTGTTAATGGAAATTAAATACATGTTGGGGAGAATATGATTGACACATTGACACAAACAACAAATAGTAAATATTTCTCCACAACACAAATCAATCAACAAGAAGCCTCCACATACAATGATCCCATACTCCCATACTTTTCAACAAATACAAGAAAGTAAATTGCCTCCACATGGGCTGATGATAAACAATGAAATTAAAATGCCTCCACACGGGCCGATGATTTAAAAATTGGTCACTTCAAGGCATGTGACCCCCTAATACACCGCAAAGAGTTTAAAAATTGGTCACTTCAAGGCACGTGACCCCCTTTTTGCAAAATGGAAGCATGAAAACTTACAATCATCTCCGAAGCAGTAGCATCAGTGGCTTTGCCATCCTTATTTACATGTGTGCGAATGAATAAATCTGCACAAGAAAGCTGAATACCTTCGTCTTCCTCAATCTATAAAAGAAACATAGACATTGTGATATATATTATTATTTACCACTAACATTTATAATCATTCAACGACATAAGAACTGAAATAATTTATATTGCCAAAACTTCAACTAACCTCGGCAGAAACACGTGCAAAGCTTTTTGTCCCTGTAGTATGCATTATTGTCTGCTTCCCATGACGTTCTTTGTTTTTTTTACTGACCTCCTACAAAAAGTGAGAAAAAGTAAACGTTCTAACATTCCACCTAAAATAATGACTGAAAGCAGGTAAATTATAAATTCAACTCATTGACTTTAAACAAAATTTGTAGATAGAGGATTACCTTCGCAATAGGTGTACCCCAATGCCTAACCAAAAATTCCCAATGCTCCTTTTCAACATTAGGTGGTGGGTTTGCCAATCTTTCTGCATCTGTATCCCTAACCGAGTAATATTCACTTTTTAATTCACACTTGTAGCCCCTCCATTTTTTTTTTTCTGATAGAGGATATTGTCTAATGTTTTGACAGGATTCCCATATCATACTTTCCCTGAAAATGTGATAATTGCTGCATGTTAATCCACTTTTTCAATAAAAATTATTTTAATATCATTGAAGGGTTTTACCTTTATAACATTCCACATATCCTTCTTCAGCTGTTTAGGCATCTCCCACCAAGTTTTGTAGCACATAGGAGCCAATTTAGCATTCCGGGCAAGTGTTCCCAAATAATTAGTATATGTACCACTTCCACGGCTGATCGGCTGTCCAAACTTATTAACCCTAAACAAAAATTAACAATTGTAGATGTTTAGTACAAAAATAAAGATAGAAATCCTTTTTTCTCCTTCATATTGAATATAGTCTAATTATGTAAACTATATAAGATGATCTATATTTATATGTACCTTAATGGTAATAAGGTTGTTGCGTTTACAACATTCTTGCATCGTGTCGGGCCCCGTCTCTTCTTCGGCGGTGGTTGGGATGATTTTGAAGTTGAAGCTTCAGTATTTTGTTCGCTCACTTTTTCCACTTCACTAACCGTTCGTTTCATTGTCAGCTTATTATTTATCCTTCTTGAAAAAGAAAACAAAAAAGTGAGAATTCATTTAAGAGAATGCAATCAAATTGTCTAAAAAAGGCAATGCACAATCCAGAAAAAATCAATAAAAAGAAATAAAAAATACCTCAAAACTTTAGGGTATTTTTGGTTGTCCAATGGAAATTATATAAAACCATTCTGTTTTGGTAAAATCATTGATTGCACTTATACAATAATGTGCCAAGAATAGATCAAAACGTATTAAAAATATATAAGCACACAAAAAAACTAAATCAGTTTTCACTGGAAGCGTACATGTGCATGCTACAAAATATGATACTGCAATATTATTGTCAAATTTGCATATATATATATATATATATATATATATATATAGTGAATCAGAGCTTATAATATCCAAAAAAGACATTTGACATCCAAAAAAGACGTTTCACATCCATTGAGAAGTAGATATAGAATCATTCTAAATCTCATCTTCATCAACGTCATCATCAACATCATCATCTTCTTCTATAGTTGTTCCAAGCAAATTAGCTCTTGTCCAAAACGTGCTATCATCAGGCACATCCAAGTCATTATCCACATGTTGTGCATAAAATGGCTCCTGAACTTGATAAGATTCAATATCATGCTCTGGCATATCATAAAGGTCTCGCGGTTTTGCACGAATAACCATTTTCCACTCATTGTCAATGGGATCATCAACATAGAATACTTGTTCAGCTTGAGATGCTAGAATGAAAGGCTCATCTGTTCCCAACGATCGTGACGAATTAACAAGCTTAAATCGAAAATCATCCTCCTTTATTCCTCTACCCTTGGACAAGACATCAAACCAATCACACTTAAACAATACCACCTTCCTATTTACATTGTAATTTAACTCAATGATATTAGTCAGCACACCATAGTACTGAATATCTCATGTGACAGGATTTTGATCGGTGGCTCTTGCATAACTAGATGTCACTGCCTTTAAGACAACTCCACTGTTCTGAGTCTTTCTCTGTCTCTCAACATCTTTAACATGAAACTTCAAACCATTGATCACAAACTTCTTGAACCATTTCGCGATAGGGTTTGAACCTTGTGCTAGCCACCTCAGCTCATTAGGAATTGGATCCTCACTATCTCGCAACTGTATTCATAAAGATATAACTTATATAATAAGGTAATTTTTCATTAACCTATAATACACCAACACATACACAAAAGTCAAATACTTACACGTTCATTAAACCATTTGTGAAATAAATCATGAGACATCTTCTCTAATTGTCTTGGTTTTAAATAGCGCTACCTCATCTTAAGAAATCTCTTATGTTTTCTGCATTGTGAAAATATAATGTTAAACATATTGCCTATTAAACTAAATGAAGTTTGACACGAATATAATCATGTAATATATTGGGGAACTTAATCTTACTCAATGAATGGTTCTGCTCCATGATAATTGAACAAAACATACCAATGAGCTTGCACCAAAGTCATCTCATCTAGATTAATGAACTCTTGTTTTCCCAAGGCACGACCTTGTGCACCAAAATCATTCACTTCCTCTCCATCAAGCACATTATCGGAATTCCTTTGGGGCCTATCGAATCTCGTCTCAATATTCGTCAGATAAGGTGAACAAAAAGTCAAGCATTCTTCTGCTAAATAACCTTCTACAATTGACCCCTCGGGATGACTTCTATTTCACACGTAATTTTTCAAAGTCATAAGGTACCTAAATATAAAGAATGAAATTTAATAATATCAGAATTTTTGAAAAATAAACAAACTATAAATGAAAATTCATTAAAAATCTTAACCTCTCAATTGGATATATCCAACGGTATTGCACTGGTCCTGCAATCCTTGCCTCGTGAGCCAAGTGAACAGATAAATGTACCATTATGGTAAAGAAGGCAGGTGGGAATATCATTTCCAATTGACATAGTATTAAAACAATCCGGTGTTCCAATTTATCCAAGTCTTCAAGCCGAAGAGTCTTTGAACACAGCTCTCGATAAAAGTTACTGAGCTCGACAAGTACTGAGCAAACATTCTTAAGCAATATCCTATGAATGGCTATGGCTAGAATTTGTTGCCGCAAGATATGACAATCATGACTCTTCAACCCACTAATTGTACGCTCTTTTAATTTCACACAACGTGAAATGTTAGATGCATACATCTTTCAACACTCGACATAATGTGCTCTTTTCAAGTGAAGATAGCGTGAAACTTGCAGGGGGCAAATAAAATTTGTTTGAACCACGTTCTTGTGGGTGAAGTGAAAGCCTTACTCCCATATCCTGTAGGTCAAGTCTTGCTTTTAATCCATCCTTCCCTTTCTGATCATTCATCAATGTGTGAAGTATATTGTCACATTTATTTTTTTCAATATGCATCACATCTAGATTATGACGCAGAAGATTATACTTTCCAATATGGTAATTGAAAGAATATACTCTTCTTTCTTCAATTGTGCGGCGGACGCGTCCGATCTTCACACTTCCGATCTTCATTCATTGTATGCACTCTTTCCAAATGGTGGAAATTTAAAGCCCTCTAATTCATGTAACAATTGTGGTCCAGATAACATAGGCGGTACACACCTTACCTCTTCAGTGCCGTCAAATGCTGATTTACAACGCCTATATTTATGATCTTTTTTAAGAAAACAGCGATGCCCATCATAACATATTTTCTTGCTATGATCTAAGAAATGAGAGCAAGTGTCTTTGTTACAAGTAGGACAAGCCAAATACCCTTTTGTACTCCAACCAGATACCATTGCATAACCAGGAAAGTCAGAAAGAGTCTAAAACAATGCTGCATGCATACGGAACATCTCATTTCTTGAAGCATCATAAGTTTCCACCCCATTAATCCACAACTCTTTTAATTCCTCTATCAAAGGCTGCAAATAGACATCAATATCATTTCCAGGTCCCTTAGGTATCAAGGTTGATAGAATAAAATAAGGCTGTTTCATGGACATCCATGAGGGTAAGTTATACACGAGTATCAAAACAGGCCATGTACTGTGTGCAACACTCATGGTCTTGAATGGGTTGAACCCATCAGTTGCTAATGCAAGCCTGACATTCCGAGGATCACTAGAAAATGTTGGGTATCTTTTATCAAAGCTATCCCATGCTGGGGAGTCAGCGGGATGTCTCATCAATCCATCCTTGATTCGCTCTTCAGCATGCCATCTCATAGAAGAAGCTGTCTTACTTGACATGAACAATCTTTGGAGTCTTGGCTTCAAAGGAAAATATCGTATAACTTTAGCAGGAATTTTTTTATTTGTTGATGAGGATGATGTACTTGCATTGCCCTCAGTTTCTGAATCAAAAACTTTCCACCTTGACTTGCCACAATTATGACACATTTCATCATTAGAGTGCTCATTCCAATACAACATACAATCAGAGGGACATGCATGAATCTTATTATATTTAAGACCCAGGTCACTAATCATCTTCTTTGTTTCATTGAAGGTTTTTGGTAATGTCTCGCCATCTGGTAATCCATCTTTTATCACTTTTAACAGATCAGTGAATGATTTGTCACTCCAATTATATTTAGTCTTCACTAAATATAGCTTCACTATATAGGATAACTTTGAAAACTTTTTACACCCATGATATAACTCTTGGTTTGCATCTTCCAATAGCCTATAAAATTTATCTAACTCTTCATTTGACACCCTTTGGTGCTGATCATTTTCTCCGTTGGTCTCTTCCCTCCCTTCAGTTGGAACACCAAAACCCTCGTGTAAGAGTCCATGCATATCATCATTTTTGTTTGCATTGATATCCTCGTGTGTTGTGTGTACATCAGTTTGCCGAGAAGATGATGGCACTTCTTCCCCGTGATAAAACCAAGTTGTGTATGACTGAATAAACTTATTGCATACCAAATCATCTCTCACCTCAGAACGTGTTTTTTTTAATACAATTGCCACAATCAATACAAGGACAATATATACGCCCATCCTTCCCAACTCGCTCAAATGAGATATCTAGAAACTCTTCAACTCCATGCAAGTATGCTGAACTTAACCTATTTGCATAGTAATGCATATAAAAAATCAAATTTCTTAAATTGTTGTTATTAGATTAAGTAACCTAATCAAACTACAATCTGAAGTACCTTGACTAAGTTATCCAACTTTTATCCATGATATTACATCAAGTACCCTAAATAAAATATATGGACAAGAAATATATTATTGGTAAACATGATAACAATTTAGTCAAGGTATTTGAAAAGAATAAAAAAGTAACATGTACAAAAAAAATCATGACTACTCCTTTAAAACAAATTCCTCAACAAAATGTAGCTAGGGTTCCTAAGAATGATCGTAAATTTTTAGTAAAATATCATTATGCAAGATGGGTCCATTATGTACAGCAAGAAAGTAACAGGTAATAGTTCAAATCTCCAAAAGTTCCACATGAACATAAATAAATTATTTGCATTAATCAAAATAAAAACATATTACAACACGATTATTTGTAAGAGCTGACAATTCAACAAGATGATATACCAAAGTTGATTTACCTATCATGCAACAAGTAGAATATATATATTGATGAACTAATGAAACTCATAAGGAATAATTTTAAATGAATAGATAAAAAATTAAAAAGTAGGAAAAGCAATCATCCATACCTTCAAAGAATATTAGCTAATCAAATGCGAATTATCCCCTTCTTGATTGCTAATGTGAAGGAAACCGAGACAAAGACTGAATTATAGTGGTCACACTGTCAGCAATAGCAAGAACATAGTAAGGTCAGTGTCTTGTAGCATACAAAAACATAATTTTTTGTTCAAGTAGAAGGCAAACAAGAGAACAAAATTGTATTTGACAAAAAATGAAACCGAATATTATATGAAAACACTAATCTGACCAAGATTCAACTCTCGGGGTTTTAGAATCAACAAGATGTAAAACATAAAGACTCGGTCAAGATTTCTCTCTAAGATATTATCCCTAAGGTTTCGTAGGACTTGTAAAGTTTTATTCTCAGATTATTGCTTGTTGGTGGGATCTGATTTTTCACCTCATTCTTCACAATTTTTTTTTTTTTTTTGATAAGTAAAATTCATTAAAGGCACTCAAAAGGGGAGCACTCCCAAAAGAACAAAAAGCCGCTACCAGCGACATTCTTCACAACTTTATTAATATTATTTTATTCAATTTCGGATCCTTTATAAATTTTTCTTCAAAGCTTCAGCCTTTTGAATCAAATCTTTGATTCTTCATTAATCTTCATTTTTTACAAAAAGATTTTTTGAGAATATATCTTTTTCAAGAGCCATTTTTTAATGATAAAAAGAATACTTTCAGCAACCACTTCTTTTGCAACAAGACCAATGCCCATTGACAAATCTTAAATCTTATTAGATTCAATCCTTGTTATCTCACTTACTAGAAGAAATCCACCATTCATGTCTAAAGCACATACATGACACATGATACATCCAGCATTCATGTCTAAAGCACATACATCATCGTGTATAAACTATGTTACTCATTAATGCCAAGACTTTTATATTTAATTTCACCTTAAATAATTTCATCTTAGGATCGTATCTCTCATTGAGTTATATTATTTAAACCATTATTTAAGGTCCAAACTTTAAATTTGCCTTATTAGTGCTGAATTTAAGAATTGTCAATTGAATTATTCTACATTAGTCTCCCTGGCCTTAGTTCCCTACAAACTATAAGTCGTGTAATTCTAAAAATTAATGGCAGTTACATTATCAAACTCCTCTCATTTACTTGTGTCAAAAGTTCATATACTTTGTATTAATAATTCATTAATACAAGTCTCTCTTTTCTATTTCTAATTTTCTTTAGGCTCATGTTTGGTTAAATGGAAATGGTTGGAGTCTGGAGAGAGGTTTTTTTTTTTTTTTTTTTTTAACATTTTACAAGTTTGGAAGGCAAGAAAAGAATAATTTTGAAGGAAGTAATTTTCCTTAACTGCTTAACTTTTCCACAAATTCTTCCTCTAGAAAACATAAGAAAATTACCATTCAAAAAAAAAAAAAAAAAAACATAAGAAAACTTACTTTCTTGGAAACTGATATAAACCAACAGCTTGCCCGTAAATTCTCTCTAAAATAAAATGTTTTTATAAATCAATTTTGAAAGAAAGGTCTAATGGTTCATTTCTCTCTCTAAATAAACTATAAAAAAATTTATTTAGATTCTCCAATAATTTTTACTTTTTGAGATCAGATAAAAATATTTATTTGAGACAAGTTTATTTAGATATGTTTTCTTGTTCAACAAAAATGAGAAAAAAAAAAAAAAAAAAAAAAGGTAAACAATAATATTTTCTTGCAAATTTTAAGCTAACAAACTATTAAATCAAATTTCTAACAAAAATTTCATTCTAACCAAATACATGTTGAAAAAATAATTTTCCTTTATTCCACTTCAATTTCTATTACGTCCACCTTGTAGTGGCTATTTCATTCTAACTAAACAGAGCCTTAAGATTGTAACTTCATTTATTTTATCTTTTACTTATTTATTTATCATCCTTATTATCTTTTTCCAAGAAACTTCTTAGTAGGATTTTATCTCAACGTTGAATAATGTACCCTTTTTTTTTCTTTTCAAAAAACGTAATGATACAAGCTCCTCTACAACGATCATCTTCTCTCTCCTTTTTATACTAACTTTCTATAGGGAATTAATGAATTTACAATATATTGTAGGTTGAATGGAGTATGGGAAGTGAGTGTGACAATGTGAATGTGATTGGACAGATTGACAGGAAAACATGGTTTATACAAAGATCCTTAGTTTCTCTTATCTTTTTCTCAACACCAAAAGCTTCACAACACACTGTAAAGCTTTTCAATCCCACCCTAAAACGCCAATTCTCCTAGAGTGCCAAAGTGATCCTTATTGTCAATGCAACATTATTAAGTCAAAAGAAAGCCAGGAAAGAATCCAACTTTTGCAAAGGTAGAATCCCCTTGTTCCTTCAGAAGGTAGACAGCAAATCTAACTAAACAAAACACTATCACTATTACATGAATTCAATTGAATTTCATAATAAACATTACATATTATAATATGTTACTGGGTAATAGTTGTCAAGGATGTATAAACCACATAAGAAATCAGAAGGCTTTTAATGGCATACCATATTTATTAACAATGGCACTACTAGAGCAACTTTAAGGTGCCCTTTGGTAAAACTAAAAATTTCAAGCACTAAATTTTAAGAGTTGAATGTATTACTTTGAAAACCTATTTGATATTGTCTTAATTTTAACTTTTTAAGCGTTGAATTCATTAAGATTGTAGAGTACAAAAGCCGAAATCTGAATGTTGTACCGATTAAATTTTTACCCTCAATATGCATATATGTAAAACAAAATATATTGTCTAAATATGGAGTAAGAAAATCTAGATTCATTTTTCTAGACAAATGACATGTCAAAATATGTGTACAAATTATCTAAAAAGGAGAAAATACTGCATATTGTAATTCTAGATAATCAACTGCTGCATGCAATAAATAAATTTTCTTTTTTCTACCAAGTGTTATTGTTCTTCCATACAACTATTCACCTTCTATAAAATATCCTACTATCTTCAATTATTACCTACCATCTAAATTCCATAATCCACCAAACATTCTACCCATCCCACCTAAATTCCAACAACATTCAGGGCACTTTCCAGCTTTTATAAAATATCATACCATCTTCAAGAGTTATCTACTATCTAAAGAGTTTCACTCTATCAACCAAACACTCTAACCATCCCACAACAATGAAGATCTGTCACACCTGCGTTTCCTCCCCTTTTGGACTGGAGCTCCCCTAAAGCTAGACATGTATTTCCCCATGTGGAGGTGAGGTGTCGGAATCCATGGGGTAAAATCATGAACCTAATGCGAGGGTGGGAAAATTATTACGTATCAAGGTGTTTCCGACCCATTTAATAACCCATTGCTCTCTCTCTCTCTCTCTAGACAGCATTTCCTGAAGTTGGTTGAGCTCCTCAACCAAACACCCATTCCACGTCACATTTGAAATTAAACATACAGTTAGCCAAAAACTTAAAAAAAAAAAAAATTAAAACAACAATCTTAGGAAATTCTTAGGAATTTTTTTTTTTCTTTGTTTCAAAAAGAATGTCTTTTTTAATAAACTTTTAACTCTTAAAGAAAAACGTTTCTTTTAGGAAATTCTTACTACATTCTTCTTCTGTCCCAAAAAAAGATTACTCTTTTAGAAAACTGTATAGAAAAAGTATACAGTAAGAGAATTTTTAAGCCCCATATTTTTGTATCCTTAATTATCTTAGAGGATCCAATTTTGATTCCCAACTAATCATATTGAGATTTGTTTGAATTTTAATTGATATTTATATACAGCATTATTTTAACCACCAAACATTAAAAATAGTGATAATAATAATATTATTAATTTTAATTAACGAAAAACTGTATATTATTTATATACAGTTTTCTCAATGTTGGAAGAAAAAAAAAAAAAAAAAAAAAAAAAGGAAAGAAAGAAATTACCTGAAAAACGAAATCAGACTAATCAACGACAAAACTTGTTCCAATAATCCAAGCTACAATCGATTATTTCCTCCTGTACAAAGAAAAAAAAAATTGAAAACAACAATCTTAGGTACAGAATGAGATCAAATAGTGGTTGCAGAATCATTGAAATTGGGAGGATGCGTTGTCGCATGAACTAAATTCCAAATCAAACCCACCTGATCTTGTTTACACTGTGATTTTTCGATCAATTGTGATTAAACTAATTTCGTGCATATAAGTTATTTAGTTACACGGCACTTATAAACAACTTTTGTTTCATCAATAGAACTATAATTTTATGGGTACGACCTCTTTTGAGATCTCCTTGCTATGGACAATGACCCCAACCTAAATAATGGTAAGTTTGGTTTTTTCATCATTTTGACATTGAGAAAATTATTACACTGGAACACTATGCAATGATCATAGTTGCGCTCCCAAATTCTCCGGTCGCTAAGCTGTCAACAAATTTCATTCCTCATCAACTCGAAATTATGGTTTCGTGATTCGTACTTGGAGAATTATAAACACGGGAAAAGAAAATCAATGAAAATGGGGGAGAGTAATAATTTTCATTGTTTATCAAATTAGAGTCAAAATAAATGCTTATCGTTGAAAGTTCATATAATACTTGATAAATAAATAGAAGTGCCTTTAAGCAATATTTGTTCTAGATTTTTATGAATTTTATTCATACGCAATGATATAAATATAAGAATTCTCATTCTATAAATTGATATGGTATAATAATACTCCGTATTATAAAAATCTCAAATCAAACCCACCTGATCTTGTTTACTGCTTTGGCTGTTTCCGTATTCCCGGCTTGATGACGACACTTCTTCCCCTACGCACTCGAAGCTGAATTGCTTCAAAATCTACTTAGATGATGTCTGGAATAGGAATAGTTGGGTTGGGAATAGGAAGACAGAGAGAGTGATGGTTCAAGCTTTCACTTGAAGAAGTTCGAATCGTTGACCGGTGATGGAAGGCCGCGACCGGTGATGGAAGGACGAAACCACGAGAGAGCTGTGATGGAAGGCGAGAGAACGGCTGAGATGGAAGGCGAGAGAACGGTGTGATGAGAGAGCTGTGATGGAAGGCGCGACCGGTGATGGAAGGGCGAGACCGTGATGAGAGAGCTGTGATGGAAGGCGAGAGAACGGCTGAGAGAGCTGGGATGGAAGGCGTGATGAGAGAGCTGGGATGGAAGGCGCGACTGTGATGAAAAGGCGAGAGAACGGCTGATGGATTAGGGCTATTGCAAAATGAAATGGGAAAGTGGAGAATATAATGTTAATTCCCCACAAAACGACGTAGTTTTAGGGCCCAAATATTCTATATATAAATCAATGGAGGGAAAAAATGGAGGGAAGGGAAAAAAAATGGAGGGAAGTGGAAAAATGGGGACACCTATACCAGCGCTCCTACAAAAAGTGCTGGTACTATTACACCTATACCAGCGCGCTGGTATATACAATTACACCTATGCCAACACTCCTAGAAAGAGTGCTGGTACGATTACACTTATACCAGCACTTTTTTTAAAAGCGCTGGTACGATTACACCTATACCAGCGCTCCTAGGAAAAGCGCTGGTACCATTACACCTATACCGGCACTTTTAAAAAAAGTGTTGGTAATATTACACCTATACCAGCGCTTTTTCTAGAAGCACTGGTAAAAACCTAATATGTTGTAGTGGATTGTGCCTCTACCTTAGTTTAATTAGTTTAATTTTCATGTCCTTAGCTTAGATGTAGTGTAGTTGCTTTACTTTCTTAGATGTGAGGACAATCCATGCTTGTTGTTTGATATTCCATACTTATGAATGCAAGTAGTATTATTTTCTAACTTATTAGTGTGTTGATTATGAGTTTAAAGGAATGAATAATGGCTTAGTTTGATATATTGTGCTATTCACTAGGTTGTCTAGACATTATATGCTTAATTAGTAAATCCATGCTTGTTAATTCAATCAATCACACCTCTATATATTGCAACACATGTTTCTCCTCATTCATTGCACATTGAGTATCTAGAATGGTGATGTTTAGTGGTGACCTCTAGATCCCAAGACCTCTCTCTCTTATTCTCTATTCTTTTATTTACTTTAGTTGTTTTCTATTGAATTTATTTACATTGTAGTTTAATTAACCAATCAAAACACCTTTTGATCACTTAACCTACTAATCCGATCTTGTTTCCATATTAATATAGCCTCCAATCCCTTGGGACGATCCCTACTCTCCCTAGCTATATTAGTAGTTAGAGGTAGTAGTAACTTTTTATAAATTTAAACTTGGACACACTTTTATTGCAACTTTGTTGGTGCATGCGACAAGCCACACACCATTATAATGTCTATTTTTGTTGTTTTTTTTATTATTACTATTATTATTATTTTGGAATTATAAACAATCACACACACTTATGCCTCATGCCTCCATATGTGATGCTCGAAAGGGGAGGAGGGCTTGTATCCTAAGCTTGTCACTGGCCCCTACCCGTGTTCCCCTCCCACACGTGCCAAACTTACTAACAAATATTTTAGCGGAGGAGGCGATGGAGGAGGGAAATCAGAGTGTGATGAGCAGTTCCATGACAAATCGAAACTGGTCGTGGGGCTGTCTAAAAGATTGTTTGATAATGGATCGAGATGTGGGAAGATGATTCACATTGCTGCTAGTAATGGGATGAATGTGATGGCTAAGGTTGTAGATAAGTGCGATTCAATGCGCGGATGTGACGAGAAACTTACCATTGTTGATGGATCGGATGGTGTGTGGAATGCTTTGGGGCTGGATATGAGCTTAGGGAAGGGGGACGTTACTTGGTCCATAGCCTAGGTAATATTAAACAATGTTGTTGGAGTTGATCATTCATCTCTTTTAAAGACCAAGAACTTGTTATACCCATGGTTTTGTCTAAATAAGAAAGTTCTGAATGACTAAGAAGCTATGACCGATTCACTCATTATCTCACTTGTATAACTTGTGTTAAAGCAAGAGATAAAAACACATTTCATTGGTAAAGCAATTCTAGTGTAAATTCATTTGTGTCCAATTTGAAAAACCCACACGAAACATGGAATCCACGTGTACACTTGTATATTCCACGTGTGTAGAGGAAAATAATTCTTAGGTTGATTTGTTTAACCTATTTGCGCAATCCAAGTGTTTTCATCAATTTGATGTAGTGGATAAAGCGATTTATCCATTATATTAAGTGGATAGAAACCCCATTTATTGAAGGGTATTTTACACCTCAATGAGAGTTTTTCTTACTATGCCTTGAGCTAGATACCACATGTAAGTACCCTCAGATATGTATACTTTCTTCCTTAAAAGAATGAGCTCCCAGAAGAAGATAAAATTAGACATAACAACTGAGTAACAAAAATCAAGGCTAAAAAATTAAAATTAATTAGATCGGAATGAACACTAATCTCTTCTACCATATGCATCAGAATTTCATTTTTCTCTCACCTTTTTGCTGGAGGATGAAATTAACCCTTTGATTGATATTTATATGGTACAGAGAATAACCAAGCAGAAAGCTACTCATTCAACACTGTTAAAGCAGTGCAATCCTCTATCAAGAACTCGACAAATACACCATAAAACATCAAGCTTTTCTATTGTTATTTTCATGATATAGATACATTATGTTTACTTTTGGAAGTTATGTTCATCCTTCATGTTAGTGCTCTGTTCATTTCTATAGTAATACACATTCCAATATATACATATACGCGATCCATATCATTTCCTTGTGTTCGGTGGTCTTCCAATTTGCTTGTTGATTAGTCCGCATTGGTTTTTATATATATTGCACAGAGTCATACATATTACAATGATTTAATCATTTCACGAAAGATCATATTGGGTCAAGTTGGCAATTGTTTACAGCAACGAGAAAATATACAATATGGTATCAACGCCTAACGCACAATCATTATTTTTCTTAAAAATTACTCATTTCTAGTATATGAAGATAAATTGAGAGTTTTCATAACTGTGCATTAGGCTGGTATTCCAGCCTTTGAATGTGGTGGTGGGATCCATTTGATAGATTATCCAATGGTTAGAAAACCCAGGAGTACGGTACCCGGGATATTGTAGTTTTCATAAGCATGGACGTAGGTGTTGGGATTATGTAATTTTCAAGCAAGTAAATGGAGAAATACTTTAGTTCTCCTATTATTTTGATGACATGATATCAAATAAGTGGGCATTTTTTCTTATATGATAAGATATAGTACTACATATATAATTGATGGATAACCTCGATGACCGTAGTAGGAAGGTCTTTCTCAAATAAATGAGATGTAATTTAGAGATATGAATATGAATCATTGAGAATGCATTATCATATAATGTTTGCATTTAGAGATAGAGGATGGACTCTGTACATGAAAAGAATGCAATCGAATCAATGATAAGTTGAGACACTTGTGAGAGTTGTCATAATAATTGTTCCTAATCAGTGTCATGGTGAATGACTCTCAAACATGAGAGAGTGGATGAACCTTTGTATGTATTGGTAATTGCTTTGATTTATTCCGTAGCACCTAGGATCTAATATTCAGTATTTGGGTGATTGATAACATTGGAATATGCTCTCAATAATTACATCTATGCTATATTATTCATTCTGAGTTGATTAGTTTGATCATTGAAATTTTGGGGCCTCGTGCCCTCATTGATTTAATAAAAATGCTTTTGTGTTTGTTTATAAAATATATTATTTTTGTCAAATAAAATTTATGTGATCAAATGCAAAAATAATCAAGTCGAAATAGAGGATCAATTAAGTAATTGAATTGATAGCTTTATTTATCTACTAGCTAATTGAGCATAGAGGGGTTATATCGTAAAATTAACTTTGTGGTTTAACCTTTCTCTAATTGAAGTGTAACATTCTTATATAATAGAGTTAAGTTTGATTAAATGGATAATTGAATTGAGTCGTAGGGTTTGACCGGATCAATTATTAACCTATGGGAACCATGAGGAAAATGAGGCCAATAAACCCTCACTCATAGTCCAAGTTTGAATAATAGGCCAATGAGAATGGTAAAAGTAAGAAGAGACGAAGGTGAACCAAATAGAGGAGAAAGCTTTCAAGGGTGGTCTTCAAAGTGAATGACAAGTGCATAATTGGTACTTAATTGATTTTCAAAATTATATTTATTAATATTTTATTTTAGATTATTTTATTTAATAAATGTGTTTCTGTATATTTTTGAGTTATTGGTGATTTTTGTGAAAATTGACTCTATTTGCATAGTCAGATACCTTATTATGTGGAGATCTAATTGAGGATAAATGTGCTTGTTTGGTTCGTAACTTTGAAAACATGTTTTAAAAATTCAGAGAATAGAAAATAGTTTTCAAAGAACAATAAAAAGCAGTTCTCTGAAAACGCATTTCTGAAAACGCATTTTTATAATTGAGTTTTCAAAAAACTAAATCAAACAGAATTTTTTATACAGTTTTTTTATTTCCAGTTTTCTGAATATTAGATATATGCTATAAGTTTATTCTTATTGTAGGCCTTACTTAGAAAAAGTTTATTCTTATTGTAGGCCTTACTTATAAATATATACTAATATTTTTAATTGTCACTTCTTATTGTAGTCCTTACTTAAAAATATATACTAACTTTTAATTGTCATTTGCTAAATGACAAATTGTACCACTATTTCTTGTATAAGTTACTAAATTTATAATTTTATTTTCTTGAAACTTGTAACACTTTATTTAGTTAAAATTATTTTGTTTATTAATATTTCACCAAGGTAATAATGATATATAATTTTTAAAGCAAAATTAAAGTACTCAAAACTAGGGATGCAACTTGGGTTGGAGAACCCAAACCCTAGGCCTAAGTTGAAATGTCTCAACTTAATTTTAATAGTGTTGGATTTGGGTTGAGGTGCTAGCAACTCGAGCAGAACCCGAATTCTAATATTATATATATATTATTTTAAATATATTATGTATAATATTCAAATTATAATGACATTTTTTCTTTTCAACTTCCTTTATTAAATTGTATTCTAACATTTAAGAGAATTAATTTTTTAAGAATTTGTTTGTTTAATTTTTTTTTTTTTTTTTTTTTTTTTTTTTTTTTTTTTTTTTTGTGTGTGTGTTTAAGAGTAATTTAATCTAAAACTAATTCAAGATAACATTATATTTTCTGTGTTAAAATTGGTCATATGGGCAACCGGAATTAACCCAATTTTTAAACCC